TCGAATAGAAGCTATACTGTATAGTAAGTAATTATAAAATTACTATAAAATATTTTTTCAAGACAGGTTTTTCCAAACGCGACAGCTTTTTCGCATGACTGTAATATTAAATTAAATTAAAAAATAATATTATTTATTAATTCTTGTGCTAATAGTATTTTACCATAAAAATATAATATTTAATTAATAAACTAGAGATAAACTATATATGCAATTAAATTAAATTAAATTAAAAAATATTTATTTAAAAAAAAATCCCAATCATTCCAACCTATTATTTTTTTATTAAATTGTGTTGATTTTACTACTGACTTTTTCACTTTTTCTGAAGTTATTTTTTAATTAAATTATTAATATTAGTTAATGAATTAATAAAAGAAACTATTTTTCATACCAAAGAAAGAGCCAATCAAATACTAAAAAAAACACAAAAAAATAATTTGAACTTGAAACAAACCAAAATAGACCATGGAAGGCATGTTGAGTTCAAATGATAAACGCGTTCGATTTAAAGAGTATCGCTGTATCTTTCCTGGCTGTACGGAAGGTCTTAAGACCAAGTACAACGTTTGTTTCAATTCTTTTAAGAGTGAACTCGACTCATAGCAAGGCGATTTCTCACATATGGGACATCCACCTAAGACATATCCACAACACAACGGAACCATACAAAACACTGAAGGACAAAGATAAGGCAAGAGAGTTGTGTATGCCTTATCTCCACTTTGTGAAAGACGCAGAAACAACACGGAAGAGAAAACCATATGACTTGGCCGATGTGTTGAATGGGAAGGACAAAACAGTCATTTCAGACTTGGTGGATAACTCCTCCGTACAAGGGAAGAGTGAGGGAAAGACTCTTAAAGTCGACATCAGTGAGAACTCCCCACAATTTGCCAACACACTACAGACCGAAAATTTGAACCAAAGCTTTGACCTTACTCAAAGGACTTATCAACAAACACAATGCCAAAACTTGTTCCAAAACATCCAACAACAACCTTTTAATATCGGACTGCAGGGAGACGTTAATATACAAGGCCAGAACTACATCACACAAAATGAATACGGCCAAATCTTGACACCACAACAACCCCAACAGCAGATGTGTCTTCCACAATTGCAACAACAACAGATGCAACAACAAATGGTATCCACACCATCGTCCTTAGAGCGATACACAACGTCTGTGATGGGGCCAAATTTGTCAGACCAACTACTTACCATTGGAAACGACTTTATTAAAGTATATTCAATTACAGAGAACGTCAAACGCCTCCACGTCTATGGCGAAATCTTTGCGGAGAACGGATTTCTTCAGAGATCGGATAAGCGAAGTAAGAAGGACATTCGAGAGATCACGGGCGCCTTAGAGACGCTTTGTAAACTGACTGGAAAGTCTTTCAAATACAAAACGAACACCAAGAAAGTGCAGTACGGCTTCATCGCACAGGAACTGAAAGGAAGTCATTCCCGACGCCGTTAGTGAAGATGAGGATGGGGCGCTTTCTATCGACCCAATAGCTATCATCCCGTTCATAGTCGAGTCACTTAAAGAGCTTTCA